AAAAAAAACAAAATAGTATAGGTAATTATTTAGGCCCCTAAACCCTATAAACCCTAAGCCCTAAAACCCTAAACCCCTGCACCCTAAACCCCTGCAACAGCTTCGGAGTCAACTCGGCTGCGCACATGAAATCACCTATTAATCTCAGCTTCAAAGAGACGCAAGGCTTGGGTTTCAGGGTTCCGGGTTGAGGTTTAGGGTTTTGGGTCTAGGGTTCGCACGCCAACAACCGCCAAAGTCTTTCCCGACGAAATTTGGGTGTTTCAAAGCCAAGTTTCGGTCCAAAAGAAGTTGCTCTAAGGCTGGCACGGAAGACCCAGCAGTCTTATTGAATGTAGGCCCCCCCGATTCATGACTCCGCCTGCTTTGACAAGGGTCATGACAGCGGTACTCATACTGAATGAAACGAGGTTCAACAAAACATCAGGGTCTAGACCAAGCTCAGTGCAAAAACATCCGTGTAAACACCCATGAATCCCTTGTAACTATCCTTCACACCCTTATACTTATAGGGGGCGCACTTGACAAGGCTTCCGAGTGAGCTATAGAACCGTCTCAGCCAGGAGAGCCCCAGACGCCTTTCTTTAGACATCTTAAAAGCCCTGGGGGGGATGCTTGTAATTATGTCAGGGTTTCTAATTGTTTTCTGATTATGGTGCCAGAATTTCCACAGAGCCTCTTATTTGGGTGTCAGGATTTCCATAGTGTTCCTTATGATTTCGGGGCATTGCCCTAAACCCTAAACCCCTAAACCCCTAAACCCCCTAAACCCCTAAACCCCTAAGCCCTAACCCCTGCATTCCAGGCGCGGACCTCGTGACCAGCGCTCTGGATGGTTACAACTGCTGCCTGTTTGCCTATGGCCAGACCGGTGCTGGCAAGAGCCACACCATGCAACTTGGTTTAGGGTTTAGGGTTTAGGTTTCTGTTTGGGCAGGCATGCTTCGGCCGAGCTTTGAGCCCTCATTTTGTATTCTTTTCCATAAGCCGTAAATCCTACCTCCCTAAACCCTCAACCCCCAAGTGCTACTACAGCCGTGTTTCGCAGTTTTAATCTTGATACACATTGCAGAGGATCTGCATGCAAGATGCCTGTCTGTATGGCTCTTGGGTGCTTGTTTGGTTCTTCCGGGGTTCGTTGATTCTTTCTTAGGGATCTCTGGGGTTGAGGGTTCGCCAGTTTCCGTGGCCATGGAGCTCAATCACTTTAGGCAACCAGCCCCTGTGCCCTCACACGCACTACGATTCAGTTTAGGGCAAAGGTTCGGATTTCATGGTTTAGGGTTTACAATGCTTAAACCTTAAACTCCGAGTTTGACTCCCAAACCCTAAACCCCAAACCCTAAACCCTAAACCCTGAAACCTAAACCCTTAAACCTAAACCTTCAAACCCTAAACCCTAAACCCTAGACCCTATAAGACCCCCAAACCCTAAACCCCAAACGATAAAGCCTAAACCCTTAAACCTAAACCTGCAAACCCTAAACCCTAAACCTGAAACCCTATAAGAACCCCAAGCCCTAAACCCTAAACCCAGTAAGCCCCCTTGGGTAGGCCACGCAGCACTTGGAGGTTCATGGGTAGTTACAAGTGGAGTTGTAAGTCCTCAACAATGGGCTATAATTACAGTTACCCTACTCATAACCCCACTTATAACTACCCATGAACCTCCAAGTACAGGGGTTCTATCAGGGTTCCTGTCTACAAGGGCATGACTTCTTGGAGGTTCATGGGTAGTTATAAATGAGGGTATAAGTAGGGTAACTATAATTATTAATTATAACCCATATTGGGGGACTTATAACTCCACTTCTAACTACCCCTAAGCCCGAAACCCTAAACCCTATAGAACCCTTTAAAGGAACCCTTAAAGGAACCCCATAACTCTAAACCCTAAACCCTAAACCCTAAGTACCCATGAACCTCCAAGCATGACTTGAGGATGGGCTACGCAGACCAGCCGGGAGTGATCCCCCGCGCCGTGGAGGCCACGGAGTCCCTTCTTTCCTCTGCCTTTTGGGCCTTGGGCTCTGGGGTTTGGGGTTTAGGGGTTTAGGGGTTTAGGCCACAAAGGAGGCCCAAACACCTCAAGAAATTTGGGGGGTTTAGGGGTTTAAGGGTTTAGTGTTCAGGGTTTAGGCTTTAGGGTTTAGGGGTTTAGGGTTCAGGGTCTATAGGGTTTAGGTCTTATCGGGTTTATAGGGTTTAGGGGCATAAAACCTTAAGATAAAGAGCCCTGGATGATATTTG